TCCTCCTTCGTCGCTGACTGAAATATCCATGACGGGGTCCTGCGCCGTTTTAAGTCCCAGAGCGCTTAGTGCTAACAACGCTGCAAGTCACTGAGCGGGGCTTTCATCGCACCTGGAAATGAAGCCTCACCAAAGGTCCATCATGAGCGCTCAGCTTTCAAGAGTAACACGTCCTTTGCAGAGCTCGTAACACCAGCATAAGCTTGGGACCCCTTGCTCCCTGTAAATAAAATCAGTACAGCTTCACCAAAGGTTATTATTTTTTTTTATTTTTAAATGGCAGTTTCCTGTCCAAAGGAAAACTGTGAGACACATCAGAGATGAAAGGCCCTCCCTGGGAAAGGGCAGATAGGAGCCAGCAAGCAGCTCCTCATGGTATCACTAGTGGACTTCTTTGAAAAGAGTTTATTTTTCCTCTTCTCTGAAGCCGCCCCGCTTCATAACTCCTAATGCATTTCCTTCTGCAGAAAAATACAACTGGCTCATTGAAAGGCAGGAGGCTCTCCCCCTGATTTTAATGGTGAGAACAGGAGGTGACAAATGTATGGTAAAGTTTACAATTAAGAAACCCTAAGGAATGCTTTCACATTTACCACAATTGATTCTGTTACATCACCACTTCTGTTAGTAATAAAGTTATTTTCTGGTGCTGTGGTGAGTCTCTGAAAGGGCCTGGACATAAAAAAACCTCATCTTGTTGAGCTCAATTCTCCTTTTCTGGCTTTCGATGCTCTAAAACTAATGCCTTATAGTCCAATTTGGGCACAAGCTCACCTTCTCTGCAAGCTCTGACTCCAAGGTCCTGTGAGGGCGGTGGGACAGGGGCTGCAGTAATGACAAAGAAAGGAAAACCCACCACGTCCTGTCCCTTGTCTCCATCTCCACTCCATTAGACCTCAAGGTAACTCACACATAAACTCATTTTCAAACTAGAAACAGCATTTTTCAAAGAAAAACCAGGACACTGCCAGAATTATAACTTCTGCTTCTTTCTCATACAACTGGCTTCTGACACTGAAAGCTTTTCTTACACCTCTAATAACTGTTAAAAAAAGACAAAGACACCACAAAAGGTCTTCACACAGCCAGTACCTGGCAATAATTCTTCATAACCCTTTATTTTCATGAATGTCTGAGGCTGAATGGACATTGATTTGCTGCCCGTTAACCTGGCTTTCTTTTAATCTATTAAGATTTCCTTTCTTTGGTGAGTATTTATAGAAGTGGTGCTGTGGGAGCTATGAAATGAGGTTCAAAAGTCAGCAAATAATACCAGATCTTAAAAGACTTCTTTTTTTTTAAAAACAGAAAATACATTCTGTATCTGAGAGCCCCTTGAATGGGTAACATTTGAGGCTATTCTTGTTATAGAGATTTTTCAGGTGCTGATAAAACATTTTAGGGGTGATAGATGAGCCACAGGGCAAACACGTCCATTGAGATAAGACTATTCAAAGCTCTAAAAACTAATAGCTGGAGAGTCGTTTCACTAATAGACCTGATATTTCCTGCCTCCAGTAGGATAATTTTAGAAAGAGACAGGCAGTGTTACAGGTAATCAGGAAATCGTATCAGGATATCTCCCCATATTCCTCACTGTCATGCTGAAATGTATAATTCAGTTTCCCCACACTTTCAGACAGCAAGTCAAGCAAGAAAAAAAACCCGCCCTTTTTCCTTCCTCATGCCAGCTCTCTGCTTTATCTTTGGCATTGAAAAACAATGAAATAAAAGGCTCTGAAGAGGGGACTGGATTGGGATGTGAAGACCAACTTGTGGAAGACCTCATCACAAGAGAGAAATACTCTTATAAATCCTGACTTTTGCAGTAGCAACATCAGCCCACAGCCAGGAACTGGGGTGAGTCCCACTGATTTCACAGACCAAAGCAGAACCAGGTGCAAGCAGCAGTAAAACAATGACAGCAATAACATCAGTCTAGATGCTCATATAGATGCCCCAGGCTCACACATTCACCCAAAACCTCCTTTTTCTGGTTGCCATATGGACTTGCAGCGTGTTGATTCATCACTGTCTGCTTTCCATGCTGGCTCAGAGATACAGTTGTAGACAAGGGGTTCAAACCTCAGCAGAAAATTGCCAACAGGTATCCCCGTTCATTTCTCTGAAATGATATGCATGTGATTGAGAACAGTATTTGCCAGAAAGCTAATAAATATGAACCTGACAGGACATGGATTGTTTATAAAGAAAAGAAAGAAGAAAAAGGAAACGGTGCATGGAAATATGTATCACAACCTAGAAAAAGGAAGAAATAGGTTAGCTTATCTGTTGCAGCAACTGTCACTGTGTCGTGATTAAAGCACGTAGCACATTGCCTTTAATCCAACGTAAGCAAGTTAAAATTGCATATTCCCAGTCTATACAATCAATTGCTCTCCCAGAAGTCACTGACAGGGAAAAGAGAGATCTGTCACCAGTCCTCACCTGTGTAAAACCGCAGGTTCATTCTGCAAACCGTTTGCTAAATAAATTCTCATTACTGCAGTAGATCACAGCCTTAATTAGCGATAGTTAAGTGGGGACCATTTCTTGAACCAGTCATGTTCGAGCTGGACACTCATACACAATCCAGACATTCCTAGTGCACTTAAATTACAGTAATATTAACGTAATACAGTACGCTGACACAGCACAGTAAGAACCAGACTTTGTTTTCTCCCTTCTGAATAAGGCCAATGTGTAGTCAGGTCCTTCCTACTTCAAGATTCCTCATCATCACCAGACTAGACGTCAAAGATGCTCATTCTTATTATTTAAACCAAACCTGCATAGCAACTGTGCAACATGAGCCATTTTTTTCTGATTTTTT